TTTCACAGGGGAGTGAATAGGCAAATTTTTGACTCTTCATGCACATCCAGCCCGAAAGTCTCAGGAAGGCCTTCTTCTCTGCTCTAATAGCTCTTTTAGCAAAACTCTATTGAGACAGTAGAGGGACTTCAGCCCAAGAACAGAAAAATACCAAGTAGCCAGGAAGCCAAGCTCAGACCAGGTGGCCAGAAGATGTTGAAACCACTGTTCTGCACGTGCAGTTGAGGGTGGCAGTGATGAGCAGCATCACCGTGTTGCCCCTAGAGCACAGGTAGGAGATAGTCGCCTAGCAACCCACAGGACAAAGTAATCCCACCCCGACATGGAGAATTCCACCTCCTGACCTTCATAAGCCCACTTTTTCAAAACGCCTGCCTTTTTGAGCAAGCACCCTTGCCCTTCCCCCTGCTTTGTCCCCAGCTTATGAAAGCTGCCCGTTCCACGGCCTTCCTTTCCTCTGCTCTGCCTCCTTTGTGCTGGAACATTCAGTTTAATAAAATCTGTCTGGAAATATCTCCGGGGTTTCCTCTCTATTTCTATCTTGGGGAACCCAAGAACACCAATGCTGGTAACACTATTATGATATTGCTGAGCTGGGTTTGTTACGTGGTAATTTTCCTGAGCCCTGCACAGTGCCTGGCTCAGTAAAACTGTTACATAAATGCAGACTCCTGCATTCCAGGGTACAGTGCCTGTGGATGGGCTGCCTTTCTCCTTCCCTCTAATTAGGAGGATACTTCAATATGCAAAGTGAAGGGGAAAAAAGTCATTTTCTGGTAGTCCTGTTTAGTTCCTGATTGGATAGGGCAGCAATATTCAACCTTTCTCATCTGTCTAGTGGCACACTACACTAATTACTAAAATTCTGCCCTAACCCGCATGGCTCAGTCAGTTGGACACCATCCCGTGAAGCAAAAGGTTGCCTGTTCAATTCGGGTCAGAGCACATGCCTCGGTTGTGGGGTCAGTCCCCAGTTGAGGCCACCAGTTGATGTTTCTCTCTTATATTGATATTTCTCTCCCTCCCTTTCCCTCTCTCTAAAAAATATTAAAAATAAAAATAAAACTCCACAGCACAACAAAAAATATATTTTTTTTGCTGATCTGACAAAAAGATAGGTATAATTTTTATTGATTTACCAAAAAAAATAGTAATTACCTAGCTTTTTTTACTCCAAAGTGACTTTTAAAAAAATCAGGTGCTTATACTTTTGTATATAAAGATTTCTCAGGGGGTGGGTAGGGCAGGGGAGAGTGATGGGGAGGGAATGGGGACAACTGTAATTGAACAATGATAAAAAAAATAAAATAAAAAGATTTCTGTTACCAAGAATTAACCAATCAGACATAATATTATTAGGAGACATGACCAATAAGATGCAACTCTATTTTATGACCTATAGAGAATATTTATGGTCCAAGGCAGGGCATTCACACCAGACAGCTATTGATGTGTTGGCTGTTATCATTTTTTTATTTGACAGTCCAAGAGAAAAGAGATGTGTCCCTGACTAAACAGTCAGGTATTGCATGTTTTAAAAATTCTTGCAGTACCCTGGTTGAAAATTATTGGGATAGGGAAAAGGAGGGTAAGGAAGAGAGTTTATATATACAAGTATACCGCATCCTTGTCCAGTCATCTATTAAAGGAAACCTTGGTTGTTTCCATGTCTTAGCCACTGTCAACAATGCTATAGATATTTTGATGCATGGGATCTCTCAGCTGTGTCCATGAGCCAAGCAGGGAATCCTTTATTGAATTATAGCTGTTCAACTTGTTGCAACTTCAAGGGGAGGACGAGGGGAACCTCTCACGCCACCATTCTTCTGACATTACTCAAATTAGTCTTAATACGGTCATCTTTTGATAGAAATAAGGATAATTATAAAGAGACTAATTGTCTTTCAGCAATACACCTTGTGGATATCGAATTCTAGATCTGTTAGTTATCTCTGAGGTTTTGTTTTCTAGCTGGATAATTTGTATCCTGAATTCTTTGTTTCCTTCCATATTTAGACTGAACTCTCCCAACTAACATTTGCAGTTTTCTAGCGCTCTTTTGATTTGGAATCACTATAAAACTAAACTGCCCCTTTCCCAAAGCCATGCAAGGTAACGCTGGACTACTTGACATAAACTTCAGAGAAATCACCGTAATACCTCATGTGTAAACAGTCTTTGTGCCTGTTATGTGGCCACTCAGAAAGATCACGAGAGACATTCAAACTGCGCACCAGGAGAATCTGTCAAATTGCCATTGCTTGCCCCATTCCATCTGAAGATGCTCAGAACCCGATATGTAGAAATCTCTCAACTGGTCACTCTCCAGACTCAGAAACTAAATTTATAATTTGCTTGAACTAATCTTTGTTTTTCTGTTTCTATAGAAAGTCCTTTCATTAAATTACCTATTACTTTTATCATATAGAGAGACCTAATTTAGGTGAAAACTCACCTGCAACACCACCTCCTAACATGGAACAGCCTCACATTCCTTCTGTTCTAAGTAATCATAGAGATACATGTTTGCTAACACACCATGTGTGTCTGTGTAAATAGCATAAAAAATTTGAAGCCCATTTGTTTATTTAATTGGTTAAACCTTGGCTCCTGGGAATTTATGCTCTGGAGAATCTTTCACTTCTTGGTTATTGTTCTTCTTACAGTCATATTAACCTCTCTAGTGCATGTATACACTCGAGATTTTAAATTTTATTCATTTTTTTAAAAAATCAATTGTATTTTTAATTAATTTATTTTTTTATCCTCATCTAAGGACTTTATTTTTCATTGCTTTGAGAGCAAGAGGGACAGAGGGTTTAGAGAGAGGGGAAACGAGGAAGACAGGGCGAAAAACACCAATGAGAGAGAAACATCACATCGATTGTTTGACTTTCATACACGCCCCAACCAGGGACTGAACCCATAACCCAGGTATATGCCCTGACCAGGAATTGAAACTGTGACCTTTCAATTTGCAGGGTGATTACCAACCAACTGAGCCACATTGGTCAGGGCATTTATACTGACTTTTGAGAGAGAGAGAGAGAGAGAGAGAGAGAGAGAGAGATTGATTTGTTGCTTCATCCATTTATGCTTTAATTGATTGTTTCTTGTATGTGTCCTGACCAGAGATGGAACCTGCAACCTAAGCATATCTGGATTATGTTCTAACGATCTAAGCTACCCAGCCAGGGCTACATTTGAGGTTTTTAAATGCCTGTTGGTAGTCACTCATATGCCAGTGGTATCCATCAGGATCAGACAACTGGATTAAATCAACAATAACCACAAAAATGATGAAAACAGTGACTAACATGGCCCTCTGACTTGATGACTCACTAATGGAAATTGCAAATGTGTGATTCTTTGGCCTGACTAGATCAAAAGTGATAACAGAATAATGCTATAATGGTTGGTTATACTCTCAGATTTCTGAGAGAATGACCTAAAGTGGGAAATTGTTAAAAGCAAATGGGGACCTACATTAAAAATTCCCTGAGCAGACAAAACCAGCTTAGTCATACATGCAAAGCCTAATTTAGCTTATTTTGAAAGACTAGCTTGATCTGGGTCTTTCTTGTTTATGCCTCTGGAAATCATAAGCATAACTTGAACTGGTTCCCAAGGTTGATATGAGTTAACCACTGACCAATTCCCTATCATTTAAGAAAATCCTAATATTATAATTAATAACTGTTAATAGGGGAATTCAAGAGTTAAAGATTTTTATCTTTAGTTATAGTTGATAAACTTAAGTGGTTATGCATGTGGAGAGCTATTGTTCCAGGAATTAGAATGTATGACCTCTGGGACTCTAGGAGGTCCACAGGCAGTTCAACCTTTGTGTTCCAGGGGGTCTGCAAGGGACGGTGATGGTATATGAACCACTGTGTTCCAGGGAGGGAAGGGCAGTGACTCAGATAAAGAACTGTGGATCAGCAGGTAAAGAGATACCAGGAAAATTGCTGCAGGACTCCAACTCTTATCTGATTAACCTTTTCCCAAACCCCCTTACCTACACTTTCCTTCTCCTTATAAAAAGCTTGGCTTGAGATGAAAATGTTATGATGGTTTTTAGGGCATATAACCCACCCTCTTCTCAGATTGCCGACATCTGAATTGGTCACCTGTAAAGGTTCAATCCTTGGTTCTACTTATTGGTTCTGGTAGTGACAGGTAGCAGGAAAGCTGACTTTTCCAGTTTCACTGTGGAAGATAAACAGTCACTGCTTTCTCACTATATAGTGCTTTACAATAATATACCTCTAAACCTCACTTCCGTATTTTGACTTGAGTGTTCCCAGTTTGCAAACTATCTTTTTTTTGTGTGGGCACAATAAATTTTTACTAATTACTGCTTGTGATTCATTGGTTGTACTTTGGCTATTTTCTGAACCCTTTGACACAAGCATGGTTTTTGGCATATTTCTGTTTCTTTGGGGTGACTGGGTGAGGAGCGCTCATGGTGATAACAGAGGAATTCTGCACTAAAGCTATACATTGGTATAGCCAATGAAAAAAGGTTAGTTCAAGATACCTGTGATGACACCTGCCAGGGGGACCCAACCTAGTCTAAGGGGTCAGGGAAGGCCTCGAAGGGGAAGTAATCTAAACACTGAGAAGGAAGAGCCTTACAGATATTTGAGGAGGAAGAAATTAAGGATTTCAGAGATCATTGGAGATTTTGTAAAGTTCTGGTGAGAAACCTGGTAAGATTGAAAAATGCCAAGAATGTGAATTACAGTCCAGAAGTAGCTGATTTTTCAGTCAGCTACTGATCAATGGACTCGCTTGTGAAAGCACACGTTCCAATTTCCTCGGTAACAACGTTCTAAACTACACTCTAAAAACACTTGGCAGTTCAAAAACTGAAACTCGCTGAAATCCTCACGAATAGTGCTTGGCGGCGTAAGACGCGCGCGGCACTCCGGACCTTGTAGTCTTTGATGGACTTCGAGTCCCATAGAGCAGTGCGACAGGTCGTCGCACCTGCGCAAAGCGGGCGGCGGGCCGCGCAGAGTGTGAGGCTCTTTTGTTCGGCAGAGGGGAGGGCCGTTGGCTGGGGCCTACGGGACGCCGCTTCTGTGAGGGGCTTGATCGCGGCCACCGGCCTGTTGCTTTTCTGGGCGCCACTCCTCCGGCCCGCCTGACGCGACTTGCCAGTAGCGCGGCACCGATTCCTCTCGTGCTCTTGGGCGCTGCTTTGAGGTGAAGAGTCTGCTGGAGGCGGAGAAGCGGCGGGAGGCGGTTTTGAGGGAGGTGAGGGGTGGCAGCGGCGGCGGCAGGGGCGGGAGCCCTGAGCGAGGGGCCGCCCGCTCGCCGTGGAGGTTGGGAGCGGGTCCTGCACCCTCCCGGCGCCGGGCTTTCCGCCGCGCGCTGGGGGTCGGGCGCGCCAGAAGGATGGAGAGGGCGGGGCGGCGTATCTTGAGGAGGACGTTATAGCGATTCGGGGTGGGCCTAGCACTTGCGGGGCGCTCATTCGCGGCTCGCGTAGCCTCAGATAATGCTGTTTGCGTTGGGTGGGCGGCTGCGGGATTGGGCTGGAGTGGAAAGACTTTACAGTGGATTGGGAAGGGGACGGGCTGGGCAGCCTTGATGCTGGGACAGGTGTGGGGAGGGTTCACAACTTCAAGACCGAGGTTTAGAAATGTAACCTGAGAATTTGGGGTCTGGCCGGGGCCCTCAGAGGACTTTGGCTTGTGAGGCGAGGGAGAAGGAACTTCGAGTAAGTTATAAGAGGGTGCTGAGCAGCCCAAGGTGTGCTACTGGGGAAGGAGAGCTGTTTAATAAATTGAGGAGGGGTTAGAAGGAGAAGTTGTTTGCCTGGCTTGATTCTAGAAGAGGGAAGAGCTGTTCGTGTGTGTAGACAGTGCGGACGTTCCGAGGTTTTTTCAGTAAGGCGAAGATAAAAGGGGAAACCTGGCTGCCCTTCATTCCTGAGGGTCCTTAAAAACAGTGCGGAGGCTGTAAAAATAATGTGTAAAGCAAGGATGGTACGCGCTTTCTTCCTTTTTCCAGGTTTTCTACTACCTTCACTCCATGATTCCTTTAGGAAATTAAACAGTCCAAGTTCAGCCCCTGCTTTGATTCAGAGTTAGTTTCGTATGTTTTTATCTGGGATTGTTACTGGTCACAAAGGGGAGTGAAATTGTAGAAATGTGCAGGTGAGTCAGTATTTAAGGAATTGAGTTAGATTTTGAGGGATGTGGGAAATTGGGAGACAAAGAGGAAAAGTTCGTTAGATCGTGGCATTTTTCTTCCTTTGGGCACTTCGGTTTTCTGGCCAGCCTTTCTAGTTGTTGGAAAATTTTAGTACAAAGTGACCACTACTTTACCCCTTTTTCAAAGCTTCATATGAAGGTGTTTCATGAATTTGTGTTATATTCAGACATATATTGATTTAAATCGATTGAACCGGAGTTTACTAAAAGATCAAATACACTATAACCTCTGGCCCAGAGTAAATAGCTTACTCAGTTATGTTCATCGTGTCAGCAGTTTGAAATAGTTCTAAAAGGCCCATGGTTTTGGAAAAGATGCATGAATACAATTGGGAAAGAAGTGCTTCTGTTCTTCAGTAGGTGCTTGCAGACATGTATATAGAAAGTGGTATGATTGAAGGGCACCGTGTTGGAATCAGTTGCCCCTTAAAGCATTAAGGCAGTTCAGGATCTTCAGTCATTTCTGATTTTCCCTGTTCTAATCCTCTGGTGGTCCAACAGATTTTGCATTAGACTTGATGTATTTTTCACTTCATAGGTTATTTCTCTGAAGAGTTTTTGGAATAAAATGCTAATGGCTAGTTTATGGGCTCACATAAGACGGGGCCATGTCTCTTGTTCATCCAGGTGTATGGAACATAGTAAGCAGTCCAAATTGTTGAATGAATGGCTAGGGCCTTGAGATCCTTTGAGAATTCTGTGTTAGTCAGCAGAATGAAGTAACCTGAAATTATGTAATCAGTTTGCCTGCCTTCAATCTACGACCTATGGCAGAGGAAAATTATTGCCTGTTGTAGTCCTGGCATTAAATATAAAAGGTATGCAGATTGTGCAGATAACAATTTTAAGTACCTCAGGCAAGGACTAGGAAAAGCCCCAGCTTCTGGACTTCAAAAGCAATCTATATAGTTTGAATATTTTCTGTTTTAAAAATATCTTGAAAAATCTTTCATGTCCTTTGTATAGTTAAATAAATATTTCCCACTAGCAATGTCTATTGGAGGATTCAGTAGCCATTCCAAGGTTAACTGGAGAAGTTTTTCAAATATGGACAAACTTCAAATTCCCTCTGTATTTGAATTTAATAACTTGTGTTAAGTCTTTCCTTCCTTTGGTCTTCATGATTTACTGACCAGAGAGAGTAACCTAATTTGTCTCTGAACTTGTGCCTTTCTCTTTAATAATAACTAACACATTGGAGGCCTAATAGAACTACAGTACTTGAGAGATTAATGTCAGTAATCTGGTTTTGTTGTGTTATCTGTGAATGCTTTGGTCTCTGCTGTTAATTTCAACTTACTCATAATTCTGGCCATTTTTATTTCATCTTAACTAAAACATTTTCTTCATAATGTAATGATGGACTCTCATCCCAAATCTATAGTTTCATCCGTATCAACATACTGGGAAGAGGTTAGCAAAGTTTTGGGATACATCTCAGATAATAATCTAATTTTATTTGCCAGTATTTTTAGTCCTAGATCCTGGAATTTGAAGGCAGGGATTGCTTTAAAATGAAACCCCTGTTCACCGGGTATGTGGCACAAGTTCTTGTTTTCTGCTCAGTAAAGTTTTCCATTTGGAAAGCATTTGCCTTGCAAACAGCCACAGCCAACAGACTAAAAGCATTTAGAAACATGAATCAGGAGGACTACTAACGATACACTACACATGCCTTCACCTGCCTTTTGATGACTGGCTCGTAGTTGCCAATGCTCAGCAAAGGTACTTCTTCCTTGATTTCCATTTAGGGCTTGTAGTTCAGATTTATCTGTTCATCATTCCCTACAAAGCTGACAGCTTTGGACTTTTACTCCCTGGTGATCTGAGTTTGAGGCATTCATCTTTATTGCCCATGCAGGGTTCAGCACCTTACACTGGGCCAGACCTATCTTTGAGTGAAAATAGGAACAGTATGCTTTGCAAACTGTAAAGAAAAGTTAAAAAATATTTGGCTTGATTGTGTAGGCTTCATGGAAGAAGTAGCATTTAAGCTGGGTCTTGAAGGATGGGTGAGGATTTTGACTGCTGGTTTTGGACAGGAGCACACTTCTAAATAATGAGCAAGGCCTTGCATGGAGGAATGTGCAGCGTACGTTCCGGTTATAGATTTCTGTTTTGACAGCAGTGTAAGTTCTGTGAGGGAAGTAGGAGTATAGAATGATAGGCATGAAAGGATGTTAGATGTTAAAACACTGTGAAGTTTGGACTTTTAAGGAGAAAGAGGCCTTGTAGAAAATTTTGTAGCAGGTACCTGCTACTTTCCTATTCAGTCTAATCCCGCCCAAACTGGTTTACACGCCATCTACCTCAGACACGCCTCATTGCTTTTGTTCACAACGGTTCCCTGGGCCAAATTGCCCTCCTCCAGTCCACCTTTTGAAACAAATGCTCTTGGAGTTTGGCTGCAATCCCAACTTTCAAAACCTTCCCTAATTACCCTAGCTATTTATTCCTCCAAGTCCTGTAGTGCTTTTGTGTTTACTTATTACTGCTTATATTTCTTTTGTTAAGTATTACGTACACTTGTTTCTCCTATTGAAATGAACTTCTCTTTTACCTTTCTTTGTGGTGTTATCTTTCAGTCCTGGCTCTGTGGCTTCAGTAAAGCCTCCATTTCCTCATTTGTGAAATGGACTTTAAAGAGTTGTTATGAGGATTGAATTGAGTGTCTTTATATACATTAAGTATATAAATGTTAGTTATTGTTATGTTGTCATCATTTACTTTTAAGGGATTCTCCAGAGTTTGTACTTCCTGTGTGTCCTTGTATCCTGCTAGCCTGACCAAACAGCTCGGTTTGCCTGGGTCTGAGAGGGTTCCTGTAATGTGGAACTTCCCGTGTGTTAGCCAGGATGACTCAGTCACCCTATATTCCACCCAGGCTCTTAGTAAATGCTTATTGATTTAATTTTTTTAATTAAAAAAAATCCTCACTCGAGGACATGCTTACTGGTTTTAGAGAGAGAGAGAGAGAGAGAGAGGAAGGGAGAGAAAGAGAAACAGTGATGTGTGTGAGAAACAGTGATCGGCTGCCTCTTGTCCATGCCTATACCAGGGACCAAACCTGCAATTTAAGTATGTGCCCTACCAGCGATCGAACCCGTGACCTTTTGTGGTTTATGGGAGGATGCTCCAACCAACTAAGCCACGCCAGCCAGAGCTTGATTTGGGTTTTTTAATAGATAGTATTAAAAGCTAGTAGTGCTCTAGTTATAAACTTCTATAGTTATTAATTGACTAGGTCTTAAACCTAATTTAGAGACTATGCGAGGGGAAGGAAAATGAGAAATGGAGAATGAGGCTAGATGAAAGAAAGAATGAAGTGGGAAGTGATCTGCACAATAGTTAACGGTGACTGAGGGGAGTGGTTCTTGCCTACCACTCCCCTCAGTGTAGCTTTTTGTAATCTGGCCACATTTGTATTCAGCATAAAGCAAGCTCATTTTACTTTAGGACTTTGAGCTCATTATTCCCTAAACTTGGTGTATTTTTCTGATTTTTGCTGAATTGTCATTCAATTCTCTGTTTAAATGTTGCTTAATCTAAAGGTATTTTATTTTTTTAAATCCTCACCTGAGGATATGTTCGTTGATTTTTTTTTTTTTTTTTTTTTTTTTTTAAGAGAGAAACATCTGTCAGTTGCCTCCAGTACTTGTCCTGACCGGGGATCGAACCTGCAACCTTTTGGTGTATGGAATGATGCTCCAACCAACTGAGCCACCCAGCCAGGGCTAAAGATGTTTTCTTGATAGCATTTCTTGCTAATTTTTTCTTGTTTGTTGTCTGTGCCCTGCTCTGCATATGCATGTGTGCACACTGCCACTTATGCTAACTCACTTGTGCACATTAGATTATAAATTCTAAGAGACTAGGGATTTTGTCTGTCAAATTCACCCAATTTTTAACCCCAATCACATACTAAGTGCTCAATAGATAATTGTTAAATGAGTGAGTACTGTAGGAACATGTCTGTAGGAAGAGTTA